ACAGGAGGTAGAACAGAAGAAGTTCTGTGGGGCTGTGATGCTGCTGAGCTAATGTCTAAAATTATTATCAACAACTTGTTTCTTCCAAGCAAGGTGAATCAAAAGTGAAAATCTGAACASAGGGAAGGGTTTGCCCAGCAGCCCAGAATGGGAAAGTTATGGGATTTCCAGAGAAGCAGCTTTGTCGGCWCCACGTTTCCAGTCCTTGTGGTTTTAATCATGTGTCTTACATGGTTGGTTTCTTCCCTCAGGTTCTTGCAGTTGCAGTATGATTACTGAGTTTTCTCTTCTTCTTTTCATATTGAGGCAATCTTTGCTTGTGGGAGTTGTGAAAAGAATCATAAGAACAAGAACCCCAAGGGCTCAAAATACCTGTATGTAAATAAAGGTCAGCACCACAGAGTTTATTTTCAAAGCAATGCCTTGTTTTTCATCAAGAAAAGACTTGTAACTGGCAACCTCAGGGACAGAGAAAACCAGTCTCTCCAGATGTGAGTGAAACTGAAAGCAACAGCTCCTCTTCTCCAGCCTCCCAGATGTGACCACAGCCTGCCTCACTAGGAGGTCTGTATGATGCCTTGCTGCAAGTGTTGTGTTCTCCACTTGCAGCTACCAACCAGGAGGAAAGTTACAGGTGATGGAAAAGCATGCTGGACTGCAGGACCTGCATCTTTATTGGGAAAGGGCAGCAGACCCAGGATGCCTAGCTCCTTGCGTGGACAGGAAGGCAGAACCACAGAGCTGCACTGAACTGTCCTCTTCAGGTTGCTACATGAGAAATTTAGGCCTTTAAYCACAGACATTACTACCTTCCTTCCTGAAGCTTGGCCTGTGAGAAGCAAGAGTATTAAGGAAGAGGTTGGCTTGAAAGAATATTCAGGGGTAATGTGTGAACTGTTGTGGTGTATAAGCAAGTGATTCATTGAAATTTGTTTTGTGATCTTCACTGTGGTCCTTACAGAGATTAGTAGGAAAGTAGGGGGAAATGAGCAAAACTGCTAAATCCTTCAAAGAAAAGAGAAATTAAACTAGAGCAGCTTCAGGTTAGGTTGGTTGAATGCTGAAGAACTAGATGGGATAAAAATATAAATTGTCATAAASCAGCAAACTGATCAGGCATATTTTGGGTCAACCTGCATTAAACTGATTACTATGACCCTCCTTAGAACTCACACATAATACCAGCCACATCAGATGGCACCAAACCCTGGCAACTAGATGGTGAAAAGGCAGGAAGGACAGAAATGTGACCTTCTGCTTTGGAGTGTAAGGACACGTCCCATGAAATTATGGGTATCTTATCCCTGAAAAAGGTGATTTACTCAGGAGTACTTGAGTGCCCTGTTTATTTTCACACTTTGCTGCATCCCCATCTCAGTAAAAGAAGAAATTGATTTCCAGAATGAAGTGGGAAGGGGTAGAAAACAATTCTTGGCYGTGAAGCACAGCATATGCTAGTGTGGAGCTGGACAGCTTTCTATGAAGCATATTCTAGCCAAGCTATCACTAACACCTGATACACCCATGGTTTCCCATCAGKTACCTGCCAGCAATGAGCAATGAATTTATTATTATCAGTTATGTTCCTTTCCCTTCTCCTTTTCTCCYACCAATTAATCATCGGTTAATCACGAGAAACAGTCCTCTACTTGGAAAATATCAAACAATGAGTTTTACCAATAAAATGGAGTATTATAGTAAATAATCATTAAGATGTCGTGAAATAAGGAGTAATCATATTGCCATGGTTTTTAAGCACTGCTATCTAGCAAAACTCCTGGGGAAAGGCAAGCTGGTCAGGTCTGCCAGCTGATGCACATGGCTAAAGTGTGTCAGAAACACCATAAGCAATAAAGACTTAGTCAGATCAGGCTTCTCTGGCCTCACATCTATTAAGACCCAGACCAGCTGYCTTGAAAGCAGCCACCTTTTCATTGTTCTGCCCTTTCCCCAGGCAGGACTAGCTGTGCAAGAAACAGTCCCCACAGGTGTTAGCCTGCCCTCACAGGCCTCCCAGGAGAGGCTCCTCAAGAAAAAATCCCCTCCTCATTTCACCTTGTTCTAGCCTTAGTCTCATTTGCTATCACCCAAACTCCAGCCATATGCATTTCCCCAGTCATATTTAATGCCAGAAATAGCATCCTCTTTTAACACATTTAAAGGCTCATGTCTTCCTCAGTCTACCATATAGTCAAAACACTAGTCTCTTTAACCTTTATTTCTGGATTTATTTTCTAGTCTTGTCATAATTCTTCTACCTTCTATCTAGCATTAACATAAACAAAGAGAGATAAGATTTTCAGATATCCTCATACAGGGCCGTATGGTACCAATGGAAGTGTATCACAGAGTTAGAAATTYACTCTAAGAGGACCCTTTTTGTTACCCCCCAATCTGCCACACCTTTGATTTCACCGGTTCAACTCAGCAGCCCTAACATTTGACATGAAGGTTGCAGTAGAAATCCCCTTGGCAAGATCTGAGATTACTCAGGCATGAAAAAAATGTACCTATGATAGACTTTATGTGGATGCTGATGCGACAAATCTGTTACATAAGGCAGCATACCAAGAGGCTGAATCCAAACTGTAGAAGAGGAAATTCAACTCTAAACTCCTGCTCTTTTTTCCTGATTTTGCAGTATTAATTATTTATTTTGTTATTTGGATAGGCTTCTCATGCCTTGAATGAAAATAATCCCTGATTTACAAGAGCACCTCTACTTCACACAGTGTCTAATGGTGTGCTGTCCCCACAGGTGCAGGACCTCCAGACCTATTTCTGCTCCAAACATCTATAGGTCCCTATCTCGAGTGAATCGTAGACTGTATGAAATTCAGCAGCTKCTTCCTTAGTTTAGAACACACAGTACACACAACAGGGAAGAAGGAAACCTAGTAGGACACACCATCTCAAAGAAACAGGGATAGTAAGACTGGCTGCTCTTGTCTCTGTGGAACAAATGGTGTGGCTTCCACTACTGGTGACTCTCAGGCAGTTTTTTGTTTGGCTGACAGCTGAAAGCAGAATATGTACTTATAACTCCAGCTGTACAACAGACCTCCTAAAAATCCATATTCTATGCAGCCTTGGCTGAGCGACTTTCAAGTGTTTAACTGAGCTTCCATGGCAACCACAGGGCATCAGGTATAAGGACAAGTGTRTACACATCAAACTTTGAACCTGATTTAATAGCATCTTACAAAATATGCAATTACATGTTTTTCCATAAACATTGGAACTATGTACCAAAGCAGGCTACAAAGTAAACAAAGGACTTGGTCCAACTTGGCACCAGACTTCTCAGCTAAGATTTGTTAGACATTTCTTAGCAGAATTGATTGTGTCTTCCTGATACCCAGGGCCTTTTCATGACATGAACTGAGAAAAGCTCAGGACTCCAGCACAGACGAGACACATTGAGTTCTTCCATGCCCAGTCTTCGTCCTTCCTGTAAACCTACAGAGACTATTAGCTGTTTGCTTACATTCTCATCCACCCAGCTTTATCCTTTTGTTTGCTTGAGGATTGTTATATGCAGGTGCTAACTGATCATCTGTACTGGTTTATCAGCCTGAAGGCTTAGTGCTCATGGATCTGATGAAACTGGTTGGACTTCTTAGTGAAGGACATCTGATGTACAATATGGTTTTGGGATGAAGATCTTAGAATTTCTGTAATTTTTATAATGGCATTCATAAAGATGAAAAACACTGAGGTATCTGTAAACATCCTGACCATAATCACCAAGACAAAAATTGAAGTAAAGTGCAGTAAAGTTACTGCCTGTACAGTCCTAGAAGATAAGAGGCTAATGTGTATGTTTCAAACACTGATAGCCAGATAGCTGTGGAGGCAACCATGGACTGTTGGCAGTAACAGCCAGGAATTGGACAGACCAGGATGTGGTTGGAGAAGAGRCCATAAGGAGGCAGGSCAGCACGTTTCTGGGRCAAATGCCCTTGATMTGGCTYCTGGAGATGAGCACAATGCAGCACAGCACAAGTGCAGAGATGCGGCTGAGAAGTGGGCATAGATGGAAGAGCAGATCAAAACCACAAAAGTTCCCCAAAACACTCCGACCCATTTCCAGAAATGTCCAGAGGAATAGCCTGTACAGGATTACTAACTTGCGTAGAAAGTGAGAAACTTGTCTCTAAAATGGGGACATTTATCTATAAAAGGTAYCCCAACSAAGCCCAAGTGTGTGGGCACTCCCAGGACACCCCATGGATGAATGTTGGAGCTAGGACTGGTGATTTCTCTTTCTCTCCTCTCTCTCTTTCTCTCTTCCCCTCTTTAATGAATTTCTCTCTTTCTCTCTTCCCTTTCACCCTACCCGTCTGTTCAAAATCCTGTGCCATGTGTTCATAGAGAAGATCRGGGACTAATTTATACCAATTTCCATGCCAAGTATGTAATATACTAATAGAACTTTGTGAGGTTTTTGTGGACTTTTGTCATTCCTTTTGACCATGAGCACCTACAAATCTGGAGCACTCCCTTCCCCTTAAGGGTGCGATGCCACATTGATAACTTTAACCCACAGATGGGGGAAAGGGGGAAATAAGACAATATTGTATCCAGAAAGTCAGTAAAATAAAATAATTCAAGAGAATCTCTTTAACAGCAATTTATTTTTGTTAAAAGTTACAACAAGTAGTTTTAAATTCTTTTGTCTTAAAAAGCTAGTGTAACACACTGCTACAGTTCTATGAAACTTACAGCAAAATTGTATCCCCAAACCACACCTTTCTGCCTGATCCTCACAGACATCAATGGTGTGGCACACAAACAGCACAGAAATGGATCGCTCTATACAGCGATGATCATTAGGCCTCAAGATGCTACAAGTTATTTTGTAAGAGCTATTAAGTATAATTTTTGTTTTTCTCTTTGTTAATATTGCTAGAACAATCAAATATTTCACATAGCTTTTGGTGACCCTGTGATCTTTTAAGAACTATATTTTATCCCCATGCCTCTTCCTATAGTTTCCCTTTTTAAAATTTCCCCRTTGGTGATGCGCCTGCCCTGTTTCAGAAGACAAACCCACAGTGACATTTGCAATCACTCTGCACACAGCATCACACATTTCCTTCACATTCTGAAACCACTGGTCAGCCCTAATCCTTACCTTTCACAACACTGCCAGAATAACTTGGCAGCACACAGTTCAGGAATACTGCATGCTTTAATCTCCAGCTTCTTGGGAGCTCTGGAGCTTAGTTTAAGCTCAAGCTCAGTACCCAAGATAGCTAAGTTACAGCTATTTCAGATTTGTGTGAAGGAGCAGCGGCCAGACATGGCAGGACAGATGCATCTTCACATTACACAAAAAGGCCTGAACAAGTCATAATACTGTTTATCACTGGCTTGCAGGACCAAAAAAAAAATCCATAAGCAAGTACGCATATCCGTGAAAAGAACAGTCCTAATGCTGTCAAGCATTTAATGCATTGAATTTAAGCTTACAATGTTATTCAATACTCAAAAGTAAGCAGAAGCATCTAGGTGAAACCCTTCTGGCTATCAAAAATGTACTGAAGAAAAAGAACATGGGAAACTTCATATAGTCTTTCATATGTGCTTTGTGTATGACTTCAGTTACACACGATCCCCTTAGATGGAATGGGTATTTCCACATGAACTTCACAATAGCACATGGAATTGGGAAACTCAGAGGAAACCATGAGGAAGCAGATTCATGTCCATCTATATCTATTCTGGATTTAGAGAGTCATGGTAAAATTATAAACACAATCACAGGATAGAAGTGTGGACGAGGTACTAGATCAAAAAATTCCATGAATAGAGCCCAATTACTCTACAACAGCAGTTCACACTCTTGCCTAAGCAGAACTACAGCTTAAACTCCAGGAGAAAAGGAAGTGTTACATTTACTCAATTAAAAAAAAAGAATTTTTGGGGCTTGCTTTCAGCTATATTTCTTCGGAAAAAAAAAACCCCAAAGCCAAAAACAATACTTACAGTAATATTTACAGTGAAATCCTGCCTTACGTAACATCCTAAACTACTACCTTGCTTTGTAAATGCTCCTAACAGCTTATGAATATCCCACTCTTACTCAGTAATACCTTAAAGAGTTTTAACTGAGGTAGCCACTAGACCATCACCATACATTAGCAATGCCAACACAATGGAAAAGCTCAACCAAGATGTTCAAGAAAAGCTGGTTAGCATTTGCTTTTGAAAATGTCATTTTCTCTCTAGCTCTCTTCCTCCAGCCCTTGCTTCACTTCCCCTTTCTCTTCTTGTCCATCTCTAACAAACAGCAACAAAGAAAAGTTTAGCTTTCCAGTTCATTTGTAAAAAGCTCGGGATTTTCAAAACTAAATTTTCAAATTGAGAATCAGTGAATTTAGTTTAAAATTAATGTCATTAAGAACACTGCCACTGAAGGACAATCTGCACCCTCAATGATTAAMACGTAAGATCTAAGTGCTAGAAGGTGTGGAAAGACACCTGCATGGGGAAAACACTGAAGCGGTGAAAAGGTCCCTTTCATTGTAAGTCTTATCCCATATATGTAAACACACATAGAATCACCTGTTAATTCACTATCTTTCAAGTACTCAGGAAGTTAAACTGCAATTATCATTCCTCTAGCTAAAAAGTACATTGATCTGTCATATCCTGGACCTTTCTAGTGACAATCATTGCTCAAAATGAAAGTATTTTCAAATTACTTGAATAGCTATGATAGCCTATGCTCAAATTCAACATACAAGAAAAAAAAAAAAAAGCTTTAAGGATAATTAATACCCTGATATTTTTAAAACACTTCCAGGATTTTTTTGTGGTCCCTTATCACAGATTATTTTTCAAGGTAATTCAGAACCTCTTCTATCCACACCCAAATCAACCAACCAACCAACCAACCAACCAACCAACCAACCAACCAACCAACCAACCAACCAAGAAAACTCCAACTGAAAATCACCCCAGTGTCTATGTTGTTTAGTATACTTGTATTGCAGAATGTACATTCGGGTAAACATCTACACTGTACACATACAAGTACATGCACATGTAGAGTAAACATCCAGTTCTGACTTTTTTTTTTCTCACCACTATTTGGAATTTGAGCGTCTTCTCCAACTAGCCAAATGTTTTAATGCATCTACAGAAACATAAACTTGCATTTCAGATATATTGCATTGACTCAAAGCAGCACAAAAACTCTGCTTCCAAGATACAAACTTACCAAATAAAAAAGTCTGAAGAGAAAAACCATGCTCTCACTTTAAAAAACAGAGCATTAATGAGTGTGGCGTGCATAATACTGATTTTTCAATGTAGATCAGATACTGTGTGTATATTCCCAAATATAAAAATAAAATGGTACAAACTGCATGCAAATGTACATAGTGTAGTTCAAGCAGTATCAAGGTATTATCCTCATTTTTCTGAAGCATGTGGACAATAGCAAACTGCAGGATGATAATTGTAATGAGGCCCTTGGGTTTCTTCCACAGAGACAAAGCTAATTCTATTTCAAAAAACTCCAGCCCACAACAGTAAGACATCAAACAATTTAGCCATGATAATTGTACTGTGAAGAATTTCTGAATTTTCTTACACATCTAGATTACTGAAATAGGCTTATTGTTTGAAGTCCTTTGCTAGAACTCCTTTTTTACAAACCACAACACAACAAAGAAAGTCTCCTGCTTTGATTACAATACAGTTGTTTATCAGGTGGAAGTAGATGAAGATGGTTTATTACAACATTATAAAACTAACCTCATCCTTATGAAGCATATGTAATGCACAAATTAAAGGTTCCAGTTAAGTATCACCACAAACTAACCCCTTATGTTTGTATAACATAACCAGCTAAGAAATTGTTACTACTGAAATCATACACAGGCACCTTGCTACGTTATACGTTATAGCTTCTTTTTAAAACATTCCACAACTGACTCTGCTTTTAGGTCACTTTTGTCCATTTCATCTATTTAGACGTTGTGTTACCACTTCTCTGTACATGATAGAGATATATATCAGCAGAAGAAAAATTACAAAGAAATCATCCAAGAACCCCAGAATTCCAAAGAGGGCCTCAGGAAGAAAATCCAGAGGCGAAGCCAGGTACAGCAAAGCTCCAATCAAGCAGAGGAATATTCTGATGCGAAACATCCAGAAGAGGCCCCCAACAGAAAACATCTCCCTGAAAGCATGTCGCAATAACGTGGGAAGATCCATAATTCTTTCCATAATCTATAAAGAAAGAACCCAAAAGTTATTATTTTGCTTTTGTAAGTCATCTATGCAAAACTTCAGTTTCTACTACCACATTACAGCTTATTACCTATTAGCTTATAGGAATTACAACAAAGCTCAGGAAGACTTAAAAAGTTTAGCTTCCTTGGGTTGAAAGTCAGATTTAAAATAGATGTGTTTTCAAGAAACAGTCAAACTGTGTTATTCTACAATGGAAAGCATACACTTAACATACAACACTAGAAAATATATTGGCATCTGTTATGAAGGAAAAGCAATGACTACTAGAGGAAAATAAATTACTGAGATAGTGAGAAACAGCAAACAGTTTAACTGGAGTGAAATATTGATCAGAATAGGAGACAAACAAGGATTGCAAGAAAAATGCTAATAGGTAAAATAGAATAGGTTACAGTTTTTCAGAAACACAATAACCCTTCTTCCTGGCATATAACCAGTGATTCACAGAAGTCTTCAAGTGACRGATGAAGCTTTAAAGTAAACTTTAAAGAACCTTTAAATGAATCAATTTCTGGCTCCTTTCCATTTTGCTACTATGGCTCTGCCAGCTTAGAGAGGGACTGCTCAATATAAAATAGTCAGATTTTTGTTGTGAAGAGTAGGGAGGGGTGAACTTTAAACCTTTTTTTTACACTGGTTCCCTTCTACTGTACACAGTTTCTACATGGAGCCATAAAACTCCATTAAAATGAGTTATTGCCATAGCTGAAGAAGTGTTTGAGAAAGAAATTTTGTATGTGGTAACACTGTGTATAAATCAAAGACAATTTAGCTAGTCCAATTAGGGCTTTAATAAGGATTTCTGGCATAACCTCAGACAGGTTACTGGGGACTACACACAGCCCACAGAGAGGTCTAATGGAGCCTGAAAGGTAGTTTCAATCTCTTCTGGACAAAACCCATAAATTTTGTGGTTTAGAAAAAAACCCTTCCCTCTTCTACCTCTTTGTACTGTTTTTTTGCTAATGTCTTCTTACTATATCCAAATCCCATGAACAAATGAAGACAAGCAGGGAGTTTACTAGTTTGCATGTGCATCCACTTCACTTTGCAAAACAGGACATGTACAGAGAAGACAGGTTCACAAGGCTGACTTTCTACCATTTATAGAACCTTGATCACTCCTCTTAGTTATTTACAGAAAAAAAATCCAGTTTTCTTCACTCAGAGAGGAGAATAAAGACTGTAATATAATCCAGGAGGAAAATTAAAAAATCAAGACAGACAGCATAGAACTTGAAATCTGAGGAGAAAGGCACAGAGTAGAGCTTCAGATTGTTCTAATCAGTGTAAAGAGATCACTGAAGTGAATATTCTTCCTTGCAGGTCATGTATTTCATTAAGTACTTTCACTGCCCATTTATTAATTCTTTCAAAATAATGACTCATATCTAAAAAACAACTTAACACATGAACAGAAGAATAAAGACTTACTAGGTTCTCACTCACAACAAAAAAAGCAACTTACCATACATTGCATACATTTACATAAGTGACAAATAAATAATTTGGAAGTCTTGGGTTTGACTTAACCATACAAACACGAATTTCCTAAAAAAACGTTGCCTAGGCCCTAAGAATCATGAAGAGAAAATCCATAACCCAGGAAAAGTTAAAAAAAAAGGAGGGAAAACAAAATCACAAAAAAATCGCTCTCATACTCCCCTGACATCACTGACTTCCACCCAAATTTACCCAAAACTTACAGATCTGGGCTGTCCTGAGAATCTTCTATTGTAATCATTAACATCTTGAAACACTTGGGCTGCACCCTGCTGATCTTCACCAAAGAGCGGTAAGAACAACGTTACCTAGACACAGCAGGGAGATCATGTTACATGCACAACAGTAAACCAGTCATCTTCAGTTAACTACATAGAAAAAGCTTTGGCTTAGTTGAATAGTTGAGAATAAACTGAAAATTACTAGTGTAATTAATAGTGGAGAATAAACTGAAAATTACTATCATGGATACTGCTATTAAGTTTTAACTAATTCATTGCTTACAACTCTTCATAGAATATTAATTTTTAAAGAGATTGTTAAAAAGCACACGAGTACCTTTCCTTCAAGAGAGGTTTATATGTTTTTTCCTAAACACCTAAATGCTTTGTGTTTCATAAGTGGGACAGATGATTTAGAGAACAAAGTTAATTTACCCAATTCGTCTAATTTTGTTTCCTAAATTGAAAATCAAATAAAGCAATCAATTATGTCTTTCTTTTTCTGTCTTTAGAATTACTTTGCATGACAACAAACCAACAAAATGCAGTTTTGCACATGGATCATCACACCAAGAACAATTGACAGAAAAAGATACTAATCTTCAGCTCTTTTGTAAGCACAGAGAATTCTGCTCTGTTCTTGGGTTAACTTTCACACAGAGAAGWCATGACCTTATGTATGTTATCTTTCTGCATAGCAGTTACTGAAAACGTGGGAGTTTAATTTGGAAGCAATGCTCAGGTATAAAATACAAGTTAGCAAAGGAAACAGGGAAGCATAGCACTCAAAATTATTACAGTCTTCAAAGGCTTCCTCTATACCTGGCCACTAAACATAAATCTTAACTCTGCATGGCAGGCATAGAAATGAGAGCATGAGCAGGTCTACATTCAAATCCTGATCCTGTCAGAAACCTCTTGTATGACTCATGCTGTTCATGTGTACATTCTTTCCCTCCCCATTTATAAACCATGGTGAGAATAAATACATAATCCTGCAAGCAGTACACCTAATATACTTGTTAGTCAGAGGAAGGTAAATGAATATATAAGTAAAGAAAGACACTAAAAAAAAATCATTTATTTTCCCATTTTCCACCTTCTTCACCTTTATTATTTGTGCCTTTTTGCTTACTGTCTACACTCTAAACCTACTCATTCTTCCTCCAGTCATACCTATTTTTCTTTTCTTCAACTGTGTTCTTAGTCATTTGTCCTGCTGATACACACAATCAAAGCAGAATATAATGGAGGGGAAAGGGCATGAGTTACATAATTCATCAGAAGTTACTAGCTCTGTAGTTTGGGCACTTCCAACATGAAAATGTACATCTGATACTATCAGACTCAGAGATCCTAAGCTCAAATTCAACATACATAATGACTTGCAGGAACATATTTCAAACTGACAATATAAGTAAGTTGCGTAGGAAGTAAGTTAATGCTTGCTCTACAAAGATGAAATTAATAATACATACTAGTTAAAAATAGGGACAAAATAAGAAACTGACATGGATAGGTCGTTTGGTAGGTAGAGAAAGAAGGGAGAGGGTATTTCTCAGGAACCAGCAGTGTGCTGCTACTGGCAGTCTACCACAACAGCCAGGCCTTTAGCATGCTAGTTCTGATAAAAGAAGTTAAATAACATCCTGAACAGAAAGCATGAAAGGATCATAACTAAAATCTCACAAGTTTTTGTTTCCATGCGCTCTTTTACAGAAAAGTGGCTGAGTTATCAGTGCTATTCATTTATGTTTGAGGTGCAGAAACAATCTGAATTTTTTGAGCCATTAGTCAAAGGACAAGTTTGGAAAAACTGAATGTCCACCATCCCTGCCTCACATATCCCTCTATATTCTTTCAGCTTCTCAGACTTCTTTATCTGCCAGCCTCACTATTGCAGCTCCCATGTAAGTGCCTTGTGGCAGGCTATCCTAGACAGCCAAACTGGCAGGTTCACGATGATTTGAAATATTACCGTCTGTCTGCAGATTGGACAACGGATGGCACCAAGCCACGAGCCATACCTCCAGTAGGCAATAATGCAGGAACCTAGTGAAGGTAAGTCACAGACATTTAAACCCCTGAGATGAAAAATGCATTGTCTGAAATAATATGTTACATGCCAAGGAAACCAACAGAAAGTGTATATAAGCAGTTAGGTTAAATCTACATTTGCTGATAGGATTTTGTATACAGCATTCACAGCAGATATCAGGAACCAAAATGTTCAAATTCAGTGCTATTAATAAGTTCAACTGAATCAGTAATTTTAATTGTTGCATTAAGTAATTAAAACTTAATTATTGAAAACACAACAAATTTTTAATCATTAAGTGAAGAAGCAAATAATTAAAACTTTTACCAGTTTAAAATTTACAAGTCATGAAAATATCAAGACATGTAAAACTTTTCCTAATAACCTAGCTTTATCATCAGTGTTTCAACAGATGAAGATATATATATAAATGTGAGTACTTCATCTGTTTTCCAAACTTCTAAGTTTTTTAATTTAAATAACCAGGCACGGTATGCACTATATACTTCATAAAACTAGATAAATGCAGTGAAAGAATCCTACTGGGAACCTGAAGGAGAGGAAGCAAAATGTTTATATATAAACATGGGGCCAAAAAAAACCCAAACCAAACCATAATCAACTATGAACTTACTCATAATTCTGTGGGACTTCCAAGAAAAAAAAATTCTATGAGATAAAGAATATTTTATTTTCTCTAAACCAGGTTTTTGAAATGGTATATTTCCAAACATTTTTCAGCCTCTTCAGCTTTTTACTAAACCGGAAACAAATTAYACGCTTAGACATTTTAAAATTAACCAGTTTCAATCCCGATAGCATAGAAAACAGTGCAGCACACTCTTAAAGTAACTGTTTATTCATAAATGTATTTTTCAACTATTAAAAATTGTTTTTATGCAGATTAAAAGATAAAAAGTCAAAAGCAAACAAAGCTTTGAATTAGCATGCCTGTACTAGTGCCAAAAATTTATATTTCTGTTCTAGTTTTATCTTGTTGAATAGGAGCTTTCTGGCTTACCACAGAAGAGATGTCCACAGTTTGTTTCTATAGGAAATGTAGCCTGTTGCAGACAGACTGGACAGGACATATCTGTATAGAAGCGATGTCGATCAGCAGCAGAAGCATCCTGCTGGAACAGCAGAAAAATAATAAGTGTTAGAGATACTATTTTATATAAGTCTACTGAGTTCTAAAAAATAACAATAAATTGGTATTCATTTACTGTAAGTCAAACTGTCAAATGCAGAACTATGTGAAATGAGAAATATATTTAAATACAAAAATCAAACACACWTAAGCACTTTGATTCAATTAGCAAGTTCTTGTGACAAGACCATTATTTTTCCTTCATCTGTTAAGTGTGTGCTTCAAACCAGCTAGAGACCAMAAAGGATGCAAAGAACCTCCTAGGTCCTTCACACTGATTCAGGTTAGATACACTGGAGTGTGAATAACAAACTTGGATCTATATTGTTACTTCACTATCCTCAGTAGTTCTGTCCAGAGCCAGGTAACTGAATTGCATTGCTTACCAGTGGTAGCATTTAGTGTTTCCGTGTCCAAACACAGATACCAGCTTGTGTATGTCACTGTCATGAAAGAGTTTTTCTTCCCATTTTGCCAAATTTGTCTTCCACATGAATATGCACTGTCATTATTTCATGAAGTGTCATGATGATACTTTCTCAACATTCTCCAAAAGTATGGCCTAGACTCTACCTGTCCAAACTGGATGCAGTTACAGAATCATTGAATGGTCTGAGCTGGAAGGACCTTTAAAGATCATTAAGTTCTAACTGTCCTGCCATAGAGGGTACCTTCCACTAAACCAGGCTGCTCAGAGCCCCATCCAACTCTGCCTGGAGCATTTCAAGGGAATTTCATGGGATGGGGCATCCATAAATTCTCTGGACAGGCCTCACCACCCTCAGAGTAAAGAATTTCTTCCTTACATCCCATCTTAACCTAGCYTCTTTTAGTTTAAAACCACTGCTCCCTGTCCTGTGACTAAAGGCTTTGCTGTCACTCTGTTGCCTGGCTCTTGCTGTACCATTGTTCTGCTACACACTGTTTATCAGCCTAAACATCTAACCCCTCTCCTGTCTCAGAAAACTGTACGCTCCAGATTTCCTTTCCTTTACCATTAGGTTCCCAGGAACATTCCAGGAAGCATATAGCATAATCTAACAAACTCCACCTTGTGGCAAAAATTTATTAGAAAAAAGAAACAGCCAAATACTTAGTTTTAATTGCTTAATGCAACAATTAAGAAAAGGCTGCATTATCTCACTACTTGATGAATTTCAAGGATGCCTCTGTAAAGTAAATAAGCTTCCATAATTTTCAAGATCAGCTTCTTCCAGAACCTCAGAGAAGCATGCCTTACTCCACATCAGAGAACTGAATGATGGCAACACTTAGCACAGCACCTGATCAGTTTGAAGCTGCTGACGAAGAGCTCGCACTAGCTCTTGATTTTCTGGATGTATGTTCTGATGTTCATTTCTGTGAAAGGAAATAGAAGCAATAAAAAACCCCTGTAATGCAACATTGAAAAATAACTCACTGAAACAAATATGAAACTTAAACAAAGGGGAAAAAATAATTCCTTCCTGCTATAAAGGACTTTAAAGGAAGTACACAAATAATTAAGGAAACAGGAATTTATTCGGGATCCTAAAGTCATTTGAGACATTTAAAGCTGTACAGCAGCAAGATTTTTCAGAGACTCCATAATCTGTCATTAAATCATGTTAAAACTAGATTCTAATCTGAAAAAAATAAGACATGAACCTACAAAAAATGGAATTGCTTGAAAGCTTTTTTGTTAAACATGCAGAAACATTTTTCATTTTTATCTCCATTGCTAGTTTCTTATTTGTTGATCTACTCATAAATTACTAGTTTTTCACTCACTGCCTAAGYCATAGAGCTGAAACATCCTAATTACTTCAATTTTATCTTCTACATGGTATTTGCATAAGAAAGAATAGACAAACTTACATTTAGAATGTTGGATTTATGTAACTATCAGCAGACTGGATATGAAAAGAAATCACTCTTTGAAAATCACTCTTCTTTTAAAAAGAAAGATTCTACAGGCAAGAAAGCTACAGGTTAGATATGCCAAGAGGACTCACTGGGAAGGGACACACTGAAGAAAGAAGGATGGAAGTACTATAAATTTTAAATTTTAAAGTGCAATGGACAGAATTGAAATTAAAAATGTGCTGAAAACAATCAGAGGTGTTGAGTTACAATAAGAGTTAACAGCGTATTAAAAAAATGCAAATTTTTATGCTTATTTTTTCATATGGATTTCAATGACAATACATTCTGCTCAGTGCTCTTGAGGTCCCAGCTGGATTTCTGTTCTCCATTTTGGGCTACATGCATAGAAACAAATAGAGAAGCTGGAGGATGTTCATAAGATAATAAGAACTACTGCCCACACTTCTTTAATATTAGAGAAAGACTGAAGAAATGTCAATTCATATAGAAGACTGCTCATRGAGTGAAAAGAGGATAGGATAAGACTTTCTTTCTATAAATATGAACAATTATTTCCCAGTTATGTAAGGGTTGTGGAAATGTATTTCTAACTGCCTAGTGTACAAAATATGAGACGATTACCTCAGGCTATTGTGAACTACCCTTGACTATAAGTTAAATAAAAAAACAGGGTTTTTTTTTAATTTATCCCATGCTTTTGGGGATAAGTGAAGCTAATCCTCTGTCAGAAATGAGGGCTGGACTAGCTGAATTTTTAGGACATTTTTCTGGTTGCAGTTATATTTATATCATTTTCTCAATGGCTCTCGGAGCTTCTGTGATATTTTCCTTCATTTAATGTGTGCAATCATAATATTGCATTTATCACTATTTTAAACATTCTGTCTGCTTCATTCTTTCTTCAAGGAGAAATAGACAAGTCTCATATTTTTCATGCTAACATTTACATGGCTATCTGTAAAAAGCAAATTTATTTAACACTAATGTGGGTGATGTATTAGAGTTACATGATGGGAAGCCTATATTAAAACCCTTCTCAGATACCCTAGTTCTCCATGCATCAGATTTTGTGGATGTTGTCTGTCATACACRTTATATGTATAAAAGTATTTTGTTGTTTAGATGCTACAAAATTAACATTTTTCACATCTTCCACTTGCCAGAATGTTTGATATATATGGAAATTCAATTTGATTCACACACAAACAGAAGGTGTGAGTTAGAAGACAGTTTATTCTGATTTCTCCATAAACAACTAATTGCAAATTTGCTACTGAAATTCTTCATTTATATGACCTTACTGTGGTATCACACAAGGTGCTGAAAATATGAGAGCATTTGTAGAGCTGTAGAGGTACAACATGTACCATCACTTATGCACAAGATGCTRAGGTAGCAGAAAACCATGAAATGTTCAGGGTGGGACAGGCAGAGCTCAAGACATTATCAAAYTAGTAACTTTTGTCATGCAATTAGTGTAAAAAGATAAATAATATAAATGAAAAAACAGTCTGATGCCATGTAATTAAAGGTATTATCAAACACAAGCCAGAAAGAAATAAAGTTAGATGCAAAGGCTTTTTATTTCCCCATTTCCGATGGCTATCACTCCAGCACTTGAGGAAAAATGTCCCATGATACAGGAAGTTTATATTATATACAGAGGGCCCCACCAAACTATTATTATTGGAGGAAGGAAGGCTGCCAACTCATGCAATGTGCAGTTTCATACAAGGAAAGAGAGGGACAGTACTCAAAGAGACTGGTGAATCACTGTGCAGTGATGGAAACTGTTCATTTCCATGGACTAAAATCTCACTTCTGCTGAAAATACTGACTTGATCTTATAATCAAACCATATGATGGATAGAAAAATGAGAATAAAAGACCTAAACCTGCAGACCCATAAACATGGAAGAGGTAAATAATCTAGGACAAACAGGTTATCTGTTCTAGGGAATTAAAGAATCAGGCTCCCTTTAATTTGTTGGATACAAATACACTGAATTTTCACGATCTTATGTAATGTGACAATCTACTCACCAGTTTAAAAGCTAATGGAAAAAAAATCTGGCTTCATTTTATCAAAATTTGTAACTCAAAAGCATATGGGCTTTACAAAATAACAGTTAGTGCCTGAACTATATATTTGCAATTTATTACACATGCTAATTACAGGTCGTAAGTTTCTCTGCCAGAAGCATGAATGAAACCTTGATGTGATGCTTCATTGTGTTCTTTCAACTGGAAACAAGTAGAACAACCATATTGCTAAACAGTTGTTTCCATATTCAGCTTGTGCCCCTAAAACCTACTGATTTAGCAACATATACTCCTTGCTCCYAGTTTTCCTTTTTATTCAGTTCCTGCAACTATTCATTACTGTAAGCTTTCTTTCCTGTATACTTACCCAGGACCTGCTCCTACCCAACTTAAGTACTTCAGATGATGATACAGAAGCACAAGAGGCAAAGAAAAAGCCTGGGGTAATGAACACCATATAAGTAACACAAAGACTGCTCTACTGATCAAGGTAACTAGAGAAGAAAAAGAAAATACTGGTTTTCTCCCCCAGTTCCCCCCTCAGCGCAAAATAAATTAMAAGTACTACAATTTTTGTAGTGTACAGATTTTCTAGCATACTGTGCAGATTTTGATGGTAACAATACAAAGGAGGTAGGTAAAGAGTGCTGTTGAACACAGACAATTTCGGAAAGTATCAGAGGGCAGAGCAGGGAGCTAAGAGGGTGCTGGTTAGACTTTCAGTCATCAGTCATAGAACCACAGTGATAGAATATACTGAGTTGGAAGGGACCCATAAGGATCATCAAGTCCAGCTCCTGCTCTATGTGGACATCTCAAGACACACGTGTCTTAGGGTATTGCCCAAACACTTCTTCAACTCTGTCAGGCTGGTGCTGTGACCACTTCCCTGAGAAGCCTGTTCCAGTGCCCAACCACCTTCCAGAAAAACTTATTTCTGATATCTGACATATATCTCCTCTGACTCAGCTTCATGCATTTCCTTGAGTTCATCACTGGCCACGAGTGATTCAATGCAGACATCCAAAGTCTGAAAGCTTTGTGTCTTCAGTTTGTTTGCACCTCCAGAAAATAAACCATCCAGGTATGTAAGGGGATTCAAACTTTTCACCTACCATATTACACTGCAAAGGTAGTTAATAACTACCTTATCTCCCTCCCTAAGTAACTCTCAATAATTGATGCATCATGTTGCTGAACCTAATTGTGGACTGAACTCCTGCTACTCTTGTGAACTGCTGACCGTTGTTCTACTGCTTTCTTTTTTTTTTTATGTTTCTTACTTGCCTTTCTAAAGTTCAAAAATAAAATGCTAACTTTCAAACTAAACACATAAAATTCAAGTCACAGCTACCACAAATGTCATGACAGAGCAGAGGAAAAACTGGCATTCTTAGAGCAGTTTGAATAACTGAAACAGCTTTGGAAAACAAAGGCAAGGTGAAGTGAATGTGTTTCTTTGAGATTCCTTTGTGATTTTCTGGTCCTGAGTAGCAGCACTGCCTTGGAGTCCAACCAAGTTTTTACTACCTATAGTTTATTTTGTAGCTTGTTTTCAAAATTACCCCAGCAATATTTCTCATATGGACATATCCTCTTCAGTAATTCTTATGATGCCAATGTGTCACTAAAATTGAGTTCTCTTGGTTTTGAAAATAGTTTTGTCTATTATAGACAAATAKAGTCTGTTTATACAGACATCCATAAAATAAAATAAAAGAAGCCCATCCGAAGGTGAGATTCATTTTCCCTAAACATATGGGCTAAGATATTTGTAAGCTTTCAAGGGAAAACTCTGAAATTAAAATAAGCTACGATGACTTGACCATTAAAGTTACTGAATTCTGAACTTAAAATTTCACTGTATGGAATGCATATTGAAGTCCACTGCTTTACAACATACTTGTTTACAAAAACGTCAATCAAATTATTCATATTTGGGATTTTTTGGTTTTGGGGGGATTTTTTATTTGTGGTAGTTTTTGTTTGTTTGTTTGTTTTTTGGTGTTTTATTGTTTTTTTGTTGGTTTGGTTTGGGTTTTTTTGTTTGGTTGGTTGATTTTTTTTTTTTGGGTTTTTTTTTTTTCCGAAGGAAACTGCAGCTAGAACATATATTGGAGGAATACATCCAATTTCAATTTTGGAATCATTGGCAAATCTGTACTTTGTAACCAAATATGACATAGCAGGCATACAGACTGTGAATTCAACCATTTTCAGGCTTAAGAAATTATGTACACTATTCAGTTTCATTATCTGAAGGAAGAGTTAAACTTCACTTTTGATTCTAATTGTGCCAAGCAATTAGTTAAACAGAGTAAGCAAGCAAACAATCACTTCCTTAATGTCACAAAATCATAGTTTCTAGGTACCAATGCAAAAGTTGTCAAGAAAGGATTTTTATAAATGCAGGTATGTTGACTAATTCTTGTCAACATATTCTCACCTTAAAAGCGTATATACCAGAGCAGCAATGAAAGTGAAACTGAGCACAACGGCCACCAGTACCTGGTCACTTATTCCTTCTATAACTGAATCATTATCTAGCTTCAAACTCTGAACTTCTGCTTGGTGACTGGCCATCACAGCTCTAAAATGTAAAAAGAAATATATACATATATATACATATTAAAACATACGTGGACATTTTAARCACAGTTACAAACAATATGCACACTCATCTAATAATATACACAAAAAATTCCTGAAGTAACAGAATAGTCATTGCTGGGAGAAAAAAAAAGTGGTAAAAAAAGATGGAATAGATCAATTTTTATCAAACACTGAGCTTGCTTCAGAGATTTTGTGCAGTGGCAACAAATCTTAAATGATGGCGTTATGATTTAAAGATTTAAAAAAAACCAAAACAGTCAGATAGTTTACCTGGAAATCTTTATAAGATAAATTGCATAAGAACAATGAGAACATTACTGAACTAGCCATATTCTAAGGACAGTTTATTGAAAAAAAATGTAATGACTGCATTATCAAGAATTTTAAGCTATTACACATCATATCATTCCTGCTAGGCAACATAGAAATCTAACTTTCACCACTTATGTGAATAAAAGACCAACGACATTTGGGGTTTAGTTGGTTTTAGTGTTAAATGCTCATTTGGATACACAGGGACCACTCAATGCATTTTAAACTTTATCTGTRTTTTCTGTGCATTACCAACCTTTAGCTGGAAACATGGGAAAACTTGAAAGAAAAATAGGGCTATCAGGCTTCCCTAGTTAGACTCACTTGTCTTATATTCATTTCACATTTTTAGCCATCAGAATGACTAACACTAACATTTATTAACCTACAGCACTAACTTACAGCTGGAGACATGCAAAAATAAAATAGTTTCCAACACACTGCTGAATCATTCCTGTTGCAATCAGGAAGTGAAATAAATATGGCTGTGAATATTATGAAATCAGAAGGGTGAAGCTAACTCTGTCAAATGACACAAAAAGTCATACCAAAGCTGTGTCCATACATAACTGAAGTATTTTTCATATGAAGCTGACATAAAATCCCAGTATTGGCTTCTGAAGGCAGGTAAGACTAGTATCATTTTCTCTGTTTCCTAGTCCAGCTTGCAAGCTTTCATCAGTGTTTCTCTATACTTCAGAGCTCATGTGTCATTTTTTAATTTAAACCTCACTGTCTAGCAAACACCACCAAACACCCTCTGGCCCTGAATTAATTGCAAAACTGAAATGGAGTACAAGTCATCAGGTTTTTAGTGGATACCTATAATGACTACCCCAGCAAGATTTCAGCATGTCAGTCTATTGCTAATAAGYAAGCGTCACCTTCTCCCTAAGACAGCTACTCTCACCCTCCAGATTATTTCTAGTATAAGCAGTGAAGCTTTTTTCAAGCTTTTTGACATTTGTGGGAGCTGTCTTCTCTAGCAGCAACTCAAGAGAAGCTGATACATTCCAGAAGTATTGTTAAAAAGTGTAAGGGGTATAATTAAGAATCATAAGAGCAGAGCAAGCTCATGGAGAACAAGGGGAGATTTCTTTAATTGTTGTATTTTTGGGCTTTCACTGTGAAAATCAAAATGGAATAATGAAGCATATATGAAGTGAAACAATAAACTAAGTTATCTTAAGTGTGCCAGTCTGAACTGAGACTATTATTTCTGTAACTATAGTCAATTTTTCACTAATTACAGCTTTCAACAAGCAACTGTGTCATAGTCTAACAACTGTAATATAATTTAGTATTTGGAAAGAAAAATTTCTTTCAAAGGTGGAACACTAGTGACTCATGAACAGGCATGTTTAAAGTAGGTCAGTGTTTACACTGTTTCATGTATACTAATGAATATAAGACCAGATCTTTGTGGAAAGGTCTTACATAGGAACATGAGCCGACACAAGGAGTTATCGCATTTCTCTGCATAGCTAGTTACACAGTTACATTCCTACAGTTTAAGCCATGAGGTCAAACATGAACATGAACAGCAGTTCCCTGGTGCTGAGGATCTGGACTGGTAGMTGCTGTGAAGCTTCCCTAGCTCACTATTACTTGCCTGTATACTTAATTTCTTTGCATATCCAGTCCCGAAAGAGCTTCTCTTTCTTTTATCATATCATTCTGAGACAGCCATTTTCCACAACTGTGCGTGCTGGTATTTTCAATTCCTATGTTTTTCCTCCTTAGGTACGGTCATCAGTCCCCCATTTTTTATTCTATCTTTTCTGGGTTGACCATTCAGAACAAAACCAGTAAATGCCAGGGAACTGATATGTAATAATTCCTCCATCGTCCCATATCAGTTTTGTTAGAATACACCAATAAGCCAATAACAACTACAGCCCAATAAGTATCACATAGTGTTTTGGTTTGGGTTTTTTTTTTTTTTTTTCAGAAATACCTTTTTTGTCAGAGACATACAGATGATTTAACTGTACCTTTGGAAGGCAAGAGTTTCTTACACTAACACCTGAAAGGCTTCCTCTGTCACTGCTTGCTTGAAGCACTTTGAAAACAATGCATGAATTATCAATATCAAACCAATTTAAATCCATTTCAGCCTTAAAAGACATCCACTCCAGCTCTTCCCTCTCTGATCCTTGCAACAACACTCTAAATTCTTATCTGCCTACCATTAATAGCACTCGCTTGCCTTCATTTCTGCTCACCCACTTTCCTGGAAATACCAAACTAAAGTGCCAAAATTAGCACCAGAACATGAAAAAGCAATAGAGTGGTCCTCACCTTCTCTTCCTTCTTACACACAATGCACCAGTGACTTGTATCTACTTCAGCTCTTCATTTTGTAACATATATGAGTGTCCCAATAACCTTTTTGATACATAATGCCCAAGAGAAATTGCTGCACAGTCTTTCTCTCAGCATAAAATACCCTCAAACGCTTATACATCAGTAATGAAAAGGTGTGTAGTGCGGGAGTGTAATCTCTGCCTCAGTCTCACTCACAGCTGCTTCTATCATTGAATTCCAGAGACGACACACTATCAGTGCTTAAGGCTCATGTTCATATTTTAATTTACTTGCTGCTTCTAGACAGCCAACTAGCACTGTTTAAATTTTTCTCATTACTTCCAGCACTTTTCCTGAATAAGATCATTGCACAGTAGACCTGACAAGAATTGTGTAGACTCTGTACTACCAAACAGAAGGGTATCACTTCAAAAGAACCGATACATACTTTGTCTGAATTCAAGTCTCAGTAGAGACAGTAACAATCTCCTCCTCCTCTTATCGCTGAGACAGCATGTTAAGAAAAGCAATGTCTATAAGGAAAACAATGTTAAAATACACTAACAGAAAAATGTCTGACTGAAGGAGGAAGGAATTTTCTGATTTCAGGGCTCTCTTGAATGTTTTCAAACAAAATGCCTCGAACTAGAGGCTTGCAGTTCATGTTTCTTCAAGTGCAACCATAACAGCCAAAGAGTCATCTGCAGAGGTTTGAATGTATGATAGGCTAGATAACAGTACTAAAATAACTTCTGAGAAATCTCACCTCACAATGCATGTGTTTAGCAAGAGTTGCTCTTTCAGCTGTACAACTAAGAGGCAAGCTAAGATTTAACTCCTAAACTATGTAATGAAGACTCAGTTTATAGAGACAACCAGCCTTGATAAAGACCAAGCATGTGTTAAAGAAGACTCCCAGAACCAGACTTTATCACACATATCTAATCACTCCTAAAAKAGTCACTGTAAATAATTTGATGCAATTCAAGAGCAAGTTGGTTTGGTTCATACTAAATTCCATCCATTTATACATTACATTTGTCTGGTTATGAAAAAATGACAGTATTTCATCAACCTTTTCCTCATATAATAATTTTCAGATTATACACAGCAGGGTATCCAGATATTAWATAATTTTAAAGCTTTTCTTTCTTGTCTGTAGATTTATGTTACTTTATTTCTTTTTATAGCTGCAAGGAAGGTTTGAACTGTTTTTTATTGCTGTGTTCCTATTATTTAATACAATAAAATAATTATTGTCTATGCTAGCCCTGAGAAAACTACCAAATAKATAAAATTACTACAGGAGACAAAAAGTCAGTAATTGAGAACAGATTAAATTCTGATAAATTATATTTGGTTATACCTAAGACTTTTCCTTCTTTTAGTCATTTCATGAGGACAGCTTTCTTACATGCAAGTACATCTCTACCCRGTGTTCCAATGAGAGGATGAAAACCAAGCAACATCTAACAATATTCACGTCAAAACTGGAATTTATACAATTAACTTCAGAATGCTAAAAGTATCAATTGCAAAGTTTAAAAAACTGACAAAAATGCTGTCCCTTTTTCCTACATTAAAAAGAAAAACAAAAAAAGCTCAAATCTTCAATTCTGTGTTATTTTACCTTATCCTCAGACTACTGAATTTTTTTTTAAAGTAGAACAATACAGAAAGGGCAAAAAGACAAGGAGTTACTCCTCCCTTCCACTTGGACTAGCTAGTTACAGCTTGATATTGCATCCCAGTACTTCAACTAGGATCAGGTTTATCTTCCTGAGGATTCTTGATAGCTAGAGAGTGCAAATAACCTCAAAATAAATTGTCTGCAAAATGCTTGGCAACAGAAAGTAATGTAATATACTGTCTGTAAAATTATGCAGTTTTATTTGTAAATCTGTCAGTGATTAACCATCTGAACAAAAAAACACCTTGCTTATTTTCAGGTTTTCTCAGAGTGATCACTGATAGAAAGTAATCTGATTTTTTTTTTACATTTCAACTAAGAATCTACAGACCTTTTAAAGTTACATTTTTCCCTCTGTGGTTGTGTATGAATACATTTTCCCTCTGCTGTGCATGCAGATATATGCAAAAAAAAAAAAAAAAAAAAGAGAGAATAAAAAAAAAAAAAAAAAAAAAAAAAAAAAAANTATACTTGCAATACTGCAAGTACAATGTCTTTTTTTTCTTGGAAATTCATACAGATTGCATTGAAATGTCAGGGAATGAAGGTATATACTAATGTGGATGTACTATTCCTTAATTTTTCAGATCTGAAAAGTCTTTTTAAGACTTTCAATGTTCATCATAAGGCATAGCTATAACAATACTCTATGTCATAATTCATAAAGACATGAAAAACAATCAAGTCTTTACCATGATACATGAAACAGCTATCAGCTATCCAAAGACAGAATTTTCCCCATATTTTTCTGAAGAATTTGAGATTTTCTGAGTTTATCAGCAAAGTACCATACACTAATACATTCTCAAAATCACAGAGATTTTTAGGACCCACTACCAAAGGAACATGCAAGTATAGTGGAAAAAAAAGAGGCTCTCTTAATGTCTTAGAAGCAAACAACGAGGTAACAGACAGGAAGTACTGCTGTGAGATACAAGTTATAACCCTACTGTATTGATTATGTGAGCATGGTACAAGTTGCTCAACATCTAAAAGATAATTTGGATAACCATGTGCCCTTTATGGGATGGGCTGGGAGAGAACTGGATGGGAACGATGGAGTTTTGGGTTGTCATTTATTTCAGTTTTGAGTATTTTCCTCTTGATACAGTGCTGGCATCCACCCTCAATTCTTGAAAAAAACACAATAAAGTTAAGGCAGTGATGGTGGGCCAGTGTACAAGGCAGAACCTGCCAGTTGTCTTTTATTAGCAACATCATCACCCCTGCCCTTTAAAAATGCTGCTTAATTTATAGAGATTGCATGTTTTCCAGGATAAATTGATTCATCTCCATTTAGTCAAATACAACAATCACACTTTCTTAAGGACAAAAAAGCTTTAACGCCTCAAAATTTTCTTCCACAGAAAGAGAAACAAACAAAAAATTGGTTTAATTTGTATCAAAGGGTTTCTAATAATATTGGCCTGTTTTAGATAATSTAAACCAACTTTTTAAGAATTTAAGCATAGTAAAATGGAACATATTTATTCTGTAATACACCCCCTGAACATATATTAGCTTATATTGAAATATCCAAGGCATAAATATAGCATATTTCATCTAAGAGAAAAGCAAGCATAAATTCCCAAAATAAAGACAAATTCTTATATGTAGGGCACAAATTGAGACCTCTCTCATCAAAAACGATATAATTACTTTCTGCTTCTGGGAGTAGCAAGTCATGGCCCCTGTCTGTGGCCGATAATGGGATTTTGTGAATGGATTTGATTATTTCTGTTACTTATGCACTCTTCCTTTAAGAGTTCAAAGATATGCCCAGACTGCATTCAGAAATAGTTATCAACAGCAGGCATGAGATACATGAGGAACAGTGGAAGTGTTGAAGACTATGAGTTTACTAGCCTAAATCCTAAATCAGCTAAATCCTGAGATGATACATTTTATCCAGGTTCCTTAGTGTATTCAAGTTGGAATTTGAAATAGTGGTGTAGGCAAATATAATATTACAAAACAGAAATAATGGAAATGATTGATGGTGTACTTAGAAAAAGTACTTCTGAGGAAACAGGATTTATCAGCTTTTCATTTTTGTGAGCATCTTCTTACTTGACTAAAGCACACACAACTATCTCTAGTATTAAGCATCTCCATATATTTAAAAAAAATCAGGAGGACAAAATCCAAAGAGCACATTTACTATGGGAAATTAAAACAAAATATAATACTGCAACATATAAATTGACAATATATATTTTGTGAGAAGGTTGTTAAAATTGACTAGGGATTATCCCACTAGAATTTCATGGAGTCAATTAATGCATCATTATTAKGAGTTTGAAGCAAATTTGGAATTACAAATCAGTTCAGCCTGGACAAKAAATATAGCCAAACTCAGCTGTGTAATATTCAGTTATATGTTCAACATGAACCATGCTTTCAGGACTGTACTGACTACATTTAAGCATATACACACTCTTTGCAAAAGAGAATGGAAAATGCCTGAAGAGTCTTGCCAAAAGAGAGGAGAGGGCAATTTCAGTAAGCAAATAATGACTTTGTTGAGTATACCTTAAGAATTGACCARCTGAGGCACTTGCCTGATAAAGCAGGTTTCTGCAAGATCTGAGGTCAGCAGTCGCTGAGGCACATTTTTTCCTAAAGAGAAAAAAGAAAGAAGAATAAAGAAAGTAGATATTCTACTTCTGCTGATGGAATCATGCTTTTCAAGTTAAAAGTAATGCAGATGCAAATTCCAGATGCAAGGCTATGAGGGAAAACAATTCAAAATTAATATACCACTCTACTGGGAAACAAAATGTCTCCGGTAGTTTTTCTCCTGCGCCTGAAACCATGTGGATGGCTTAAAGCAAAAACACAAATTCAATGGCCTGTTTAGCATTACTATTCTGAAGATCTGCCTGGGTGATGTATGACCTGTGTAAAACAATTCCCAACAAAGTCTTCCATCACTAAGGCTAAAACCTCCCAAAAGGTATAGAGTTCTAAACAGATCAGGGGGTGGAACCAAATTCATACGCAGATAGAAGCATGAAAAAGAGCCTGCCAATGCCATCAGCTTATATACCTGACTTTCCTGGACAGGCAAGAAGAAAAACAAAATATTGTCATTTCAYTACAATAAAGTTTGCTGGAATACGATAATACTTCAGCTAAGAATGGAGAGGCTTCAGATCTCTTTTAGGAAAAGTGCCCAAGAATTCTTTATTGTAGAAAGCACCACTTCCATATACAACCTCATATCTAAAACACATAGCAAGGCAAAAAAGCATTACYGCATTTGCTTGCATCAACAACATACAAGTTACACCTCATGACAACAGGCAAAGCAGAATGGGAAATGAGACWCAAAGGATGATATGGCATAAAACCTTAAACAGTGACATACACCTGTGAAAGCATTGTTTGTCAAAATTACCAAGCATATTGCTTAAAACACACATTAAAACTTGCAATTGAAAGCTGGTAGTTGTGCAGTTTTCTAAGACTTTTTGCCAAAACTCCTTGCCAAACTGAAAGTTACCTTTAAATGATGACAGATTTGATTTATAACTAATACAGCAGCTATACAAAGAGACCAGTGAGAAAGTGCTTTCCCAGGAAATCGTGAACATTTTCATAGCTTCTACAATACTTTGTAGTTTAAAAAATGCTGACGAAAAAGGAGCACTCAGATTTTGTCCATGTTATTAATTTATTTAATGGAAGAACTCTGAGAAAACAGGGGGAAAAGTGATAGTTTCTGCATCTGAAACCCTTCCTTTTTTGGCTGTTTATTCAACCCTTCCCTGTTATCAYTGCACTGTGCCTGCTACTCTATGTTGCAAGTCAGGCCCATTGTTAACTGATAAGGAATTGCAGAATTTATCACGATGCTGCACATTCTCACTGAAAACTTAAACGGGCCAAAATCCAACACACCACTGAGAAAGAGTTACTTGAACTCCTCAGGTGACCACTCTGCAGCATGATGGAGATATCCCTTGGCTGGGGCACAGTGAGGATGCAGGGGCACTCTGGCCATAAACCAGACTCCTCTTTGAGATAAAACATTAATTGAACCACCTGAAGAATCAAACAGAACCAATTAAGTTGCAAAAGACTGCTGAGATCACTGAGTCCAACCTATGACTGAACACCACCCCGTCACCAAGTGCCACATTCAGTCTTTCCTTAAACGCCCCTTGGGACAGTGACTACACCACCTCCGTGGGCAGGCTGTTTCAATGTCTAATCACCTTTTTTCCTAGTCACCACGTGCAGCTAGTGCTAAGCAAGTAACTTATAAAATCGTAGAATGTTAAGGAATCGGAAAGGACCTTAAAGATCATCAAGATGCAACATCCCCTTGTCATGGGCAGGGACAATCTCTCACTAGACCAGGTTGCTCCAGGCTTATCCAAACTGGTTTTGAACAGTGCCACGGTTGAGGCACTGCAATCTCCTTGGTGTTCCAGCACCTCAACCTCCTTCACAGCAAAAAAATTCCTTCTTCTATCTAGCCTAAATTTCCCTTCTTTCGGTTTGAACCCATTACTCCTTGCCACTGCAGTTCCTAATGAAGTCTCTCTCTGGTTTCCCTGCAGGCCCCGCTCAGACTCTAGTAGGTTGTTTGTCCATTACATTTACTACAGCAGAGCTTTGTCGAAAGAAAGCTAACGTCGTTATCTTCGCCAAAACCAGAGGAAAACGTCATCAAAGCTGCTCCATACACAAGAGAAGCCACACGAGATACTAAGACTGTCTTAAGTCTGTGGGTGCAGGGTAATTCCTTACACCAAAAAGAGAGAAAAACCTTGTACGGGCCACTCCATCCAGAAGCCAAGCCACACTGCACACCAACATTGATAACGCCTGTGGTGCAGCATCCTCACAAAGCCTACGCTCCCAAACCTGCCGGACACTCTCCCAACTAGTTCCTCCACGCCAAGACACACGCACAGAGCCGGGGGAAGGGCTGCACACCCCTCCTCCCCGCACCCCTCGGGGGCCCAGCGGCGTATGAGGCGCCTCGGCGGGCCTGCAGCTGAGGGGTCCGCGTCTCCCTCACGCTCCCCCCCGCCCCCGGTCGGCTGCGAGGGGCGGACAGCCCGCTCCGGCCCCGCCCGTCCCCCCGCGGT